TATGGATGGCTATGAAAAAAACAGTGGTGGTGGCAAAGGAATGTTGCTTCCAAACGATGGAATTCAAAACGGTTAATCAAGTTATAGCAGAGAACCTTATACATGAAGATTAAAACAGAACTATATGGGACATGGTTTGTGGTAGCATTAGGAGAAAGGCCAAAAGACTAAGAGAAAATAGATTTTTGTTCACTAGGCGGGAAAACAATATGATAGCTACATTCTAGCTAGAAATTCTTAGAGTTTATTTTAGTCGGTTACTAATTTTGTGTTAGATAGTTGAAGTTTGTTATCCATTTATGGAATTTACTCGCTTAGCAAGTATATAAGGACCGTTCTATATTAATAAACAAGAGAGATTTTTCCTTGCACTTACAAATGGTATCAAGAGCCCCTTAATCAGTTTCTGTTTTTGAGATAAATAAATAAAAACCACAGTTTTCTTTATTTAGGTAGAGAATTTCTAATAATTATGTTCTCACACACACACGCACTGCATCAATCAAGCTCTTTTCATGGAAGATTCCTCAAAGTTTGTAACTCCTGCAATTCTCAAATTTGATGAGTTCTACGATCACCAGTTTATGCTAATAGAGAATTTTCTTCGATCCAAAGAATATCGGTAATTGGTGGAAAATGGAGTGATAATTGCTCCACCAGATGCCACACAAGAACAACGCAAACTTGTTGAAGAGAGTAAGCTCAAATGTCTCAAAGCCAAGAAGTATCTATTTCAAGTGGTTGGTCGTACAACTTTTGAAATGACGATAAAAGGTATTTGAGATTCCATGCGAAGAAAGTATCAAGGTGTTACAAAGGTTAAGATAGCTCAATTGCAGACCCTGTGCCGAGAATTTGAGATTCTTGGCATGAAAGATAATGAGTAATTTGCAAGAATCGTGGCCATTGCAAATAAGATGATTTTTCATGGTGAAAAGTTGGAGCAGGCCATAATTATTGAAAAGGTCATGCGATCAATGATCCCAAAACTCAATTACATTGTGTGTTTCATTGAAGAATTCAACTATGTTACAACCCTCTCCATTGATGAACTATGGAGCAGTCCTTTTGTTCATGAACAAAGAATAAAGAGTAGTCAAAATAAGGAGGAAAAACAAGTGCTAAAGATAAAAAAAATTATGGTCGTGGTGCTGGTAGCAGTCGTGCAAGGGGCTGTGGAGAAATTTAAGTTCGTGGTAGAGGAAGACATAGTCGAGATCAAATTGAATGCTTCAAGTGTCACAAGCTATGATATTATTAAAATGAATGTTCAACTTGGCATGAGTATGATGCCAACTATGCTGAATTTGATGAAAGTGAAGAGCTACTACTCATGGCGCAACATGAAACAAGCACAAAAACCAAAAGTGGGATTTGGTTTCTTGATTTGGGGTTAGTAATCACATGGTAGGAACAAAGGAATGATTGTTCAATTTTGACGACGAATTCAAAGAATTTATCAGGCCAGGAGGTTACTCAAAGATGTATGCGATGGGAAAGGGTAACTTGAAGCTTTACATAAATGACATCATTCAAGTTATCATTGATGTGTATTATTTACCAGATATGAAGAACAATCTACTGAGTGTTGGTCAATTGATGCAAAAGAATCTCACTATTGTGTTAAAAATGGTGGTTGCTGGGTAATCCACAATGATAAGGGTTTAATCATATCCACTCCTATCTCATCCAGCATGATGTTTGTACCTGTAATCCTGCAAAAGTGTTTGAAAGCCACTAAAGATAATGACACACAATTGTGTCATTATAGATATGATCACTTGAGCTTCAAGGGACTTGCCACATTGATTAAGAATGGATGGTGAAAGGGATTCCAAGTTTGAAGTAAATGGAAAAAATTGCTCTGATTTCTTGATGGGAAAGCAACATAGATAAATCATACCAAAATGTGCATCATGGAAAGCCAAGAAAAAACTTGAGCTAGTTCACTCAGATGTGTGTTGATCCATCAAGCCTGAATCCAATGGTGGAAACGGGTATTTCATAACCTGTACATATGACTTTAGTAGGAAAACCTGTATTTACTTCACGCATGAAAAGGCTAATGCATTTGATGTTTTTTTAAAATATTCAAGGCAGTAGTGGAAAAAGAATCAGGCCATCATGTCAAATAATTTAGGACGTATATAGGGGTGAATTTACGTCCACTGCATTTATTGATTTTTGAAGTCTTCATGGCATCAAGAGGCATTTGGCCACAGAAAAATGAAGTATCATAAAGGAAGAACACGAGTCTGATGAATGTGATCAGAAACATGATGGCAAGAAGGAATGTTCTTAAGTTCTGGCCGGAAGCACCAAAATGGGCATCTTATATACTCAATAGAAGTCCTACTCTATCTGTGAAAGACATGACTCCAAAAGAAGCCTGGAGTGGTGTGAAACATTCAGTTCATCCTTTCAAGGTGTTTGGATGTATAAATTTTGTGAACATTTTTTATGTGCAAATAAAGAAGCTACATTTCAAAAGCACCAAGTGTGTGCACTTATGAATGAGTGTGAAGTATCCAAAGCTTACAAGCTTTATGATCCAATAAATAAGAAAATTTTAATAAGCAGGGATGTAATATTTGAAGAATCAAAAGTTCAGAATTGGAATAAGAATCACAAGAAGAAGAATACATAATCAACTAGCAATTTGATAGTGAAAAAGAAAACAATGAATCAAATGATGCCCCAACAGATGAATAGATGCATATTGACAACGCTCACTAAGATGAAAGGAACAATGTAGAAAGTGCAAGTGAATAAAGTGAAACTTAAGAAGAAGAGCTTCCTCCAAGGCAAAAGAAAAGACCATGTTACTAAGATGATTATATCACTGGCTTAGAAGGTGAAGAAGAAGAAGAGCAATTGCAAAACCTAGTTGTGTTTTACAGTGGCATTGATCCTCTCACATATGATGAAGCAATCAAACATGAAAAGTGGAGAAAATAAATGTATCAAGAGATTCATTATATTGAGAAGAATGACACATGTGAGTTAGTCAACCTACCACCAGGACTTAAGAAGATTTGTGTGAAGTGGATTTACAAGACAAAATGCAATGAAAAAGGATAGGTTGAGAAACATAAGAAAAGCTTGTGGTCAAAGGATACTCAGAACAATATGACATAGATTACAATAAATTTTTTGCTCCCATGGTAAGATATGACATTATTAGGGCTATTATGGCCCTTACATCTTGCAAGAATTTGCAAGTTTACCAACTTGATGTTAAAAGTGCATTCTTGCATAATGAATTGCTTGAAGATGTCTATGTGGATAAACCCTTAGGCTATGAGAAATGAGGAAGAGAAAAGATTTATAAGTTGAAAAAAATTTTGTATGGCCTTAGGCAAGCACCAAGAGCATGTTTGTGAAGTATAATGGAGGCAACGTCCTAATTGTCATGCATTAACAAAGTATGCCAAAAAGATCCTTCCAAGATTTGGAATTGATTAGGGGTCTATACAGCAACAATACAGTTCTAAAACCTTGACTCGACTTAAAAATATGAGTGCAAAACAGACATATATATGACGGATTGTTTTACCATTTATTATTATTATTATTATTTTGGTTCAATATAGTTTACTATAATTTTATCTCTTAAGAATAAATAAATAAATAAAATGCAAGAAAATTCAAACTTGTGCTCATACAATTAAATCTCAACACAACCAACTAAACTGAGTTAATTGAATTCTTTTGTTTAATTTTTAATAATTTTATAAAAGTATCATTTATTAAGAAATAATTCTTCTTCAATCTCATATTAAATTTTTCTCTTGCAATATTTTTTCTCTCAAAGTATTTGTTTCTTTAGAATATTTATGCGGTAGTTATTAATTTTTTTCTCATTCATATACTCTTATTTATTGTACTTTATTAATTATAATTAAAAAGATACTTTGATAGATCAAACTTAATTTATTATTATAAATTTGTAATTAAAATAATTAGTCATTACTTGTATATAGTTTATTTTTTCCTTTTACTCTTATATACAGTTAACATTTTAACAAAACCATTGTTTTTATGCAGTTTTTTCAGATTTGGATTTTTTAACTTCCACTTCCCTTCCTTTCTCTACCTTCATTTCTATATCTCTGTTGATTTACTTTCTTTCACATTCTTCCCCCGACATAAACATTATTGTATCCTTTATATTATACATGATAGGGTTTAAGAGAAATGATAACGAGTGTCTCGGATTAAGAGATTAAAATGATAACTTAAGTATTATTTAAGAAATACAAATGGTAAATTAAGTATTATTTAAGAAATTAAAAAAAACATGTTTTTTTTTAAAACATATATGTATTTAAATGAACTGAACATAAGATATGTTAATAAGATAGGTTAAGATGACCAAATGTCTAAAATTACTTTAATTTCCCTTGCTCGTTATCTTTCCTAGGTTTTGACTAAATAAGAGGCATTATTAATATCATAGGAAAAAAAGGGTAAGAGGCGCTTTGTTATTTTCTCTTTTTCATTGAGTTAGCAAAGTACTGCAAAAGGGGAAAGGACTGTGAAACCATTATGTGGCCGTAGTTTATGACTAGGAATAATAGTGTCATACGCAACATCATCACTGGTTTTGTTAATGTATAATAAATATCGAACTTTAACTTTGACATTTTAAAGCAGAGTACAAAATTTGTTGTGGCAAAAAAGTAATAACATACTGCATGTCACAGCATGAAAAATTGCAATAATAACACAATTATACAACACAGTGCGAAAAGAAGGGGAAATCTTCTTCCTTTCAATGCTAAAAATAAACGTCCAACCCTGTAACCCAATATTTACAATCCACATGAAAACAAAGGAGAAACACATCACTCTTTACATTTCAAATCTCACTTTCACAGTAACCAACCGAGACGGAAAAAACAAGCTTCAGAAGACAAAACACAATGAAACTGTCATCATAATCCACCAACACATAAGCACCATGGACAAACAGGGCAGTTGGACCATCAGTTTCAGTTTCAATTTGATCGCTTCCTCAATTGAGACCCTTTGGTCACTGCTTTCATATTTTGAGAATCTTTAAAACAGACAAAGTGCACGAGAGTGCTCCCGTTGGGGTAGACAGCAAAAACACTAGTCCCTATTTTCTTTCGGCACAGAGAACACGTGTTGTCACTGGTTATCTTCACAACTCCTTTCCTTTGACTATACAGTTCATCTTTCACCTGTGGAAAACAAATTGAATCATGTGAATTGCTAACAAAATAGAAGGATCTGAAATTCTGAATATGCGCGTGTGTGCAGTTTGTTGGCCCTATCACGGTGCATCCAACCGCACAAGTACTAGAAAGCAAGAAATTTTGATTTTTATTCTGGGGTATGCTTACCTGAAGGCTCTCGCTCTGTCTCAAGCTCCTGATCACCGAACAGTTACGGTACATTTCACTAGATTTTCGTAAAAGAGGCCCAAGAAATGATAGCAAATCCTGCAGATTACAGATATGCTTAACAGACTGAATAAACAAAAAGAAAAAAATGTCTTAAAACTGAGTAAACTAAAAAATGTCTGATCAAGATATAAACCTTTTCTCAACAGAAAAAAATCCTAAGAACATAAGTTAGACCAGTAAAAACAGTTGAAGTGTGATCTTTAGATATGGTGCAGCAACTAGCAATGGTTACCTGTAACTTAGTCTCTCTGGGTAAAAGTTTAAGGGCCTGAGCTCCATTTATTCTATCCCACCTGCGGCTCAACAGATCAAGAACCTCATCAAGCATGATAGTCGAGCCACCCTCATTTTCATCCGTATCATCATCACTCCTGCTACTGTCAGTGCTGCTCAAACTAACTTTTGTGTCCTCTGCACCCTCAATCTCAGCAATTTTCTTTGATCCCCGACCTCCTTTGCTTTTTACCGATGTTGCACTAGCTCTAGAAATGGATGTACTTTGCGGGGATAATAGATTGGCAATTCTCATTTCAAAGCTAGCTGTGGTCTTTCGAGGATTCAAATAGATTTGCATTAGCAATAGGTATATGTTGCTAGAACTTTTTAGAGATGGCTGATGCAAAGACTCATACACCCGATCACAATAAGATAATGCCAATTCTGGAACACGAAGCTACAAATAAAAGTACACTAATTATTATCAAGTGTTATTTATCACTTTAAAAACCTTGATATATATGACAGTACCACACTTGTACAAGAAAGAATGAACTTAAGTGCATTTGGAATATCAGAAAATGAGTATAAATAAAACACGGTATACCTTATGAACATACAGAGACAACGCCAATTCATGTTGGTTCATTTTTCCCAATAACAATGCCCGCTCTTCGTATAAAGCATCTTGAGGAAGACGTTTCAGCAGAGCCCCTGGATTGTATTCAGATATACCTTCTAAAGCTGATAGTAACTTTTTCCTGGTTGGGGTGAAAGTTTTCTCATCCCACTTTTGTTGAGCATCTAAGTCAGCATGCCAATCAAGTACTTCAGATAGATAGATGTTTACCTACATTGCATATTAATGTAATTAAATACAGAATTCGCTCTTATTAGTATTAACTATTAGTCATATATAAAACATGCTGACAAAAGCGGTACAATCATCACTAAGAAGCTTTTACAAAACTTTTAAAAGCCATTCTCATGAAATACCCAGCCTTTCTCTACAACCAAAAGAAAACAGAAAACTGGTTAATTTATTATAGCCTTAAAATAAGATTGCAAGAGGTCCTCACCATTTCATTTTGCAGATTGCCAGATATGGCATTCTCATTCATTGCAAGCATGAGCTCCAAGTACCTAGCTTGCATGTTTGGAGAGTGCTGCTTCAAATATGAGTTCACCATATCTGCTGGTATGTTTCCAGAAAGAAAGAGCTCAATAGTTTGGGATGGACAGCTTTCAAGAACAAGCATTGAGAATTCCAGAACAAGTATGGGGTCTGTCCCACATAGCGGCTGCATCAGAAACCCACCAAATCAAAAATTGAGAATCATAAACTTCACCAAGTTGGAGATTTTGAGTCTTAACTTAAATCCATACAAAATGGAAATTGACGATATTTTTCTAATTACTCTGTACGAGAATACACAAACAGCATTTTCCAGTATATCTAGAAGCAGAGGAAAAGAACTAAGTTAACCAAACATGAAAATTCTAAAACAATTCCGGTTATCAAATTGATGCCACAGAACAAAAAAATCATTTGTTAAATGACAAATTCCAACTGATCTAGGCTTCTAAGTTGAGCAAAAGAATCCTTCATGTAATATGGAGGTCACAGATTAAACTCCCCCCTCTAACAAAATAACAACTAACATTTTCCATTTCCACACCATACAGAAAACTCACAGCATCTCCATTTACACAAGAACCTAATGATAATAATATCACCCAGTAAATTGACCAAAAACATTGTGAAGAGTGGACTTACACTATCTAATTCAAGACTATATGATGTCACACATTCAGACACCACAGGCTTCCTAACTCCTACTCCCTCCATCTCATAAAAAGTGTCTCATTTGCACTTTTTCTATGTCTCAAAATAAATGTCTCTTTAGAATACCAATACAACATTTATTATTTTTTCCCACTACTATACCCCTATTTATTAACTTTCACGCTTTTCAACTACTCCACTAACTATAATAAATAAGGGTGTTTTAGTAAAAGATACTAACTTCATCATTAAAATCAACACATCTAATCATTTTCTTAAGAACCACGCAGAGCTCAAATAAGATACTTATTATGAGACGGAGGGAGTAAGAACCAACCCATATCAGTTCTTCCTTTTCTTTTTTCTTTTTTTGTTGAAACGGTCAAATCAGTTCTTTAGTCTATAAGTCAGCGTACAATTTAATCAATGCCAACCCTTTAAAATTAACAGGAAAAATACAAAATGCTTCTTAAAAAGCTACCTTGAGATACTCAACAATGTCCTCAGGCATGAACCTTTGTGTAATTTCAGACTGGCTGGATCTTGACTCATCCACCAACTTGTGAAGAAGTTCAAGAGCTTGCCGGTGCAATGACTTGCACTTGTAAAGTTCTAATAAAGCAACATTAAGGTTGTCTTTTCGAAGTATTTCTTCACATATTTTCATATCACAGTAATTAACACCTCTAAGCAATTCTAAAGCCGCTGAAGATTGTCCAGTAAGAAGCAATGCTTGGAGAAGAGCAGTATCTAATATTGAAGCCATCTCTCGAGCTCCAGAACTAACCGATACATTACCACGCCCCTGACACCAATAATTTCAAAATTATAACTTCACTAACAACTGATAAATAATAAATTATTATTATTGAATTGTTTGGATAACTCAAAAAAATTAAGGACATCATGTTTCCAGCAGCTTCATCAATCACCATTCATCCTGCACGTTTTACAAAAAAATTGATAGTGTAGACATGCAAATGTGTGTGCCGGTGTGTATTTGTCAATAAACCTTTGCATGAGTATAACACTAGCCTAGTTAGCCTCCAATTGAAAGGCGTAAGTTGCAAGTTATACCAAATTTAACCCATCAACGAATAAGAAATAGCTCGTTTCACCTTGTTTGCTTTTCTAAACCTATTGTAGGATGCAAAGTTATCCCCAACTGCATCTAAAACAACTTCTTCAGTTCCCTCTGAAGTAGCCTTCTCAATAAAATAACCTCTCTTCTTCTGTAAATATTTTATGAGAGCCATGAGCATATTATGGTTTGTTTTTTTGGATTCTAGCGCTGCATTCTCGTCATATGGTGAGGGTTCCATATCATCTGAAACACTGGAGAGATAGGAAGCATCCCTTTCAATGTCCAACTTCTCTGGCTCATGAACAATAGTTGTCTTTGGAAGGACAATGGATGGATAAAGAGAAAGTACATAGGTTATATCTACTTGAGCTTCCAGAAAATGTTCCATAGCCTCCTCATAGCTTCCATTATCAAAAAGATAGTGGGCATATCTGTAACAACACGGAATGAACACACTCAACAGTACTTTCAGAAAAATGAAAAGTAAGCAATGATTAATATGTTAAGCCCGGCGTAATTTATAAAAGGTAAAATCTTCCACTAAACAGTACTATGTGAGCTTAATGGTACAATTTAATTACGAAACGTCAAACAATTACTATCAAATAAGACTGTAATGAATTCAATATAGATATAATTCAAATCCTATTATGATTTTATTATAAATTTATTTACCCTCTTTACTTTTTTTTCACTCTTCAAATTTATGAACAATGATCAAAATGACTATGCCCAAAATGCAAAAATTTTCTCCACATTGCAGCCACACTCTAGTTACATGATATATCCTCGAAAAAAATTTAGTTAGCAATTAATATTTTTTATCCACAAATTGGTTACCGTAAAGAATAAGTGTATTAACAATATATACGAAGTGCGTCTCAACTCAAGCTAATCTCTAAAGACATGCTAAAGGTAATCTTTTACAAGGACCACTTACAATGAACAAAACAGGCAATGCGGTTTTTTATTTGGCTTTACATTAAATATCATGATCATATTGGTACATAGTGCACATCAACAGTCAATCCAAATTTAATCTGTCAACTACTCAGCTAGTAGGGCCCTCAGAAATAGGATGAACTAATAAATCGAAGGTATTCAATTCAATAGAGGGAAATTGTCTACTCTGTTTCTTTAGAAAGAATAATCCTAAATGACAAATAACCTCATATGAATCGATCCCTCCTTTGCAGCACGAAGATTTGAATCTTCAGGTGGAAGGAGCTTGCACAATGACAAGGCCTCTTCAAAATTGCCAGAAGCAGTTAGTTGTACAATCTGCAACGAAATATTAAAATTCATGACTTTCACAATCTGCAACAAAATATCTATATGCCTAACTTCAAAACAGCCAATGAGATGCACAAACACAGAACTTTGATAACTAGGTAATGTAAAATGAAGTCACACGATTCACTGCTTTTCCATTTGCATTAGAATCCAAAAACAAGAGCTTTGGCAAAATGCATCTATCATTTAACAGCATTTACAGTACCTGGGCTCCAAGAGGAACAGGGAAGAGGCCTTGAACAGAATTATCCAAAGCAAGTATCACGGAGTTACTGCTTTGGCAAAGATGACGAACGTTGCGAAGAACAATAGTTTGTATCAACGGATAAGGTTGCCGAAGAGATCTTATCTGCAATACAAAGGCCATATAAAGAACATAGAACCACAACCTCTTTCACAATAAGAAAAAACCATATTTTTTTCCTAACGGTCAGTTACCTCCACAAATCTAGGCAGCAAAGCAATAGCATATGGCTTCTGAATCACAACTTCCAAGGGTGCCTCTGACCAACAAATCCTGCCTTCAGGAATAAGTTTCCCATTTTGATCCACAAATACCCCAATGTTCTCCTGAACAATGCATCAACATATCAAATTACTTAATTTAACCTTACAAAACCACCAATGAAAACAACAACAAAAAAACACACACACACACACAGCATATATACATAAACATTCACAAAAGAGAATAATACCTTTCCAAGAAGCAGTTCACCAGACGGAAGAGGCACTACTAAAGGCGGTGCTAGTCTCCCCGAAGTAAAAACTTCAGACAAAGCACCGTTTGAAGCATTCAAAATCACATATTCTCTTCTAAATCCCAAACATATATTCTCCCCACACCAACTCATGGACTTCACCACATCCGGCACACCAAACTCTTTCACCTCCACAAATCCCCTACCACCTACATCAAAAATTTCAGTTTCAATTTCAACTTCAATGACAACTTTAATTTCATCATCAATGTCAACGTCAATTTCAAACTACAACTTCAATTTCAAACTACAACTTCAATTTCATTTTCAATTTTAATCAGTATAATCAAATAGCAAACCCGAGTGTTGACAACATTGATTTCAATTTCAACCAATCATAGCAAAACATTCATCCACTCCTATCTATCTACGAAGAAACCAATAGAGAAGGAATTATTACCATCGTGTCTGAAAATGCAAACGCGCTTTTGCCTCCCGAAGCAGAGAAAACCTCTTCGATCATCCCAGCAAAAGACATTAGCACCCTTAGCTTTGGTGATAACTGCTATAGTTTCCAAACTCGAGAGTCTATGGAATGCGATGGATTCAGAGAGCGATAAAAGCAGCTCTCTCGATTCCACAACTTCCATTGACACAACAGGCTTCTTTGCAAAACCAGCATAGTTCTTATCCAGTACGTAGGGTCTAGAACGATCGGAGGAATCAGTTTCCGGCGCGTAAATTCGGAGAGATCCATCGGAGCAACCGAGCAGAAGCTTGGAACCGTAGGATTCGATTGCTTCGATCTTGCCGTTGAAATTGGGAACTAGCTCTAAACAATCGTATGCACTGTGCACCATTTTGTTTCAACTCCGTCGATCTTAAATTCAATCATTCGTGATTTGAAGCTTACTTGTTCTTACTCTTTGAAACCCAAGACTCGTTGAAGAAAAAATGTTTACTTCAATTCAAATAAATAAATAAAATGAAAAAAATTGTAAAATTGAGCAAAAATTCAATTAGAAACATGGTCCCGGCGGGGCTCGAACCCGCGACCTTCGGCTCATAAGACCAACGCTCTAACCAACTGAGCTACGGGACCTGGTTGTTAAACCAATTTGACATATAGTATATATTAAATATATTTACATGATCAAATTATACCAATAACTGCCAAGCCTTTTCGTTACACCAATAAATAAATATCAGAATTTTTGTAAACCGATGTATAGAATTGTGAGTGATGGTATCACCATATATCATCTTTTCCCGTTTGTTTTATATTGAAATTGAAATATTAAAATTGTATGTACTTTTTAATCTTAATGATTTTTTTATGAGTTAAAATATTACGTATTTACAGGATAATAATTTATGTATATACCTTTAATTGTGGTTGGCAAAGACCTTTACTCACACACTATTGTAAGTTTGCAATAATATTTGTTGTTTTTTTCTTATCTTGAGTTTTGGTATGTCTCCCATAATTTTTTTTATATTGATTTGCTTATTTGTTTTTAAAATTTTGTTTAATTTCATATTATTATTTGCGTGCAACTTGAAATTTGTTTGCCCACACAAATACACAAATTTTTTTAAAAATTGACTTATGCTAAATTGTTTGCGTACTAGGAAAGAAAGAGATGAGAGTTGTCAACGGATGAAATTTGACCTCACATTGTGATTGCTTGTAATTTTCTTGGTCTAAAATATAATTGCACTAAATCAATGGAGTAAGTTCTTCTTTTGTTGTATGATTGGATGGATAGTTGGTGTTTTTTTTTTTGGCGTGTGGTTGTTTATGAAATTTAGAAAGATAGAAATAGTTTAGTGTCCTCCCATAAAACTAATTTGGGATACTTTTTCAACATATTCAAGTTTGTTGCACTATTTCTGGGGATATTTTTGATTTGATTTTAGAAGTCAAGTCCTACACGGTTTTTGTGTCAAGGTTAAGGAGTTAAAGGGTTTGAAATATCGATTATGATTATTTATTTTGTTAGAAAATTAAATTTAAACGGAATGAATCGAGGTTAGAATCGTGAACAAAATTATTTTTTTTTAAAGTATTTCAAATACTCTCATGTATGTCTAAGAGTTGGAACGCAAAATTATCCAGGATAATTCAGTCTTATATCGAATTTGTGAAAGACCGACGAAAACTCGATTATGTAGCGAAGAGTGTCTCGAATTTTATACAAAAGGATATTTGATTTTTGATATGTTTTCTGAATTCCTGAATGATGTATTTATAGGCCATATATGTGTTGTTTCACAAGGTTGCGGTCATTGATGAAACAACACCTTTTAACCAAAAGTTGCATTGTTTCCAAGCATTACCTATTTTCATTTTGCATCAACACTTCACGAAATGTTACATTTCTTCGAATTCAAAAAATTAATATTTACTTGAATATTTTCTTATCATTTTTGGAACACGCTTAATATTATTAATTGTTAATAATTTTCAACAATCTTCCACTTGTTTTAACAATGACAAGACCAATTCTAAAAAAAAAAAGAAATAAAGAATGTTAATACAGTTAAGTATCTTTCAATTTAAAACTTAACTTTAGTAAAGACAACGCAAAGTCTAATCGGAATGTTAGGTAGCAATGTTTTTAAACCATTTATCTATGTGAATAGACCGACGTTACCTCACACACATTCTTTAAGGTTCTTCGCCTACATTTCTCGCCTAACACTTATTTATGGTCATATGCTTTTTTGTTTCATGAATTTTTCATGAGAGAAACTCCAACTCTCACTTTGAGACGACACCATCTCGAAATTCACATAGGTGAAGTTCATATTATATCCTTTTCCATGAGACACATACCCTCGGTATTGAACTTCATTAAGAGTTTAAATAAAACCCAATCCTCATTTTAAAAGTCAACATTATCACGAAATATTCGACAAATATTCAAAGTCTCTGGCCAGTGACTTAGTAAATGGATCAAGAAAATTATAGTCCGATCGTATATGAGTGAATGATTATATCCTTAATCAATTCTTCTCACGAAATAATGTCCAAGTCCTACTTGCCTAGACTTTCTGTTATACAATTTTTATATTCTCTATTTAAAGTGGTTTGACTACCGCAATGTATCAACACATTTGAAACATTGTCTTTAGTCAATGAAACTTCCAACAGAATGTCCCTCAACCATTCAACTTCTTCACAAACGAAAACATGAGCCTCGAACTCTGATTCTATGATGAAAGAGTGATCTACATTTGTTTCTTGCTCTTCCAAAAAATTGCACCCTCTGCTAGTGTAATATCCACCCAAATGCATATTTTTGATATACAATACTCGATATCCAACTCGCATCGGTATATCCTTCTAATATGACAGAAAATCTACCATAATGGAGATCAAGATTGTTGGTTTTCATAAGATATCTGAAATTTTCTAATGATGGCCTTCTAGTGCTCGCCATTTGGATTACTAGTAAGATCTACTCATTTTACTAATTGCAAATGCTATGTTGGATCTAGTACATCGCATGCACTTGCATATTCCAATTGAGCCCTAAGTCATCCATCATCCTTTTGAAGTTTGACATTAGGAGTGGTTACTTCCTCAAAGCGTAAGTGTTTGAACTTATCAAGCACTTTTTCAATATAATGTGTTTGACTAAGTTCATAACCCCCACTATTTCACTTTACTTTGTTCCCCAAAAGTGTGTCAACTAGTCCAAGATTATCCATCTTGAATGTGGAAGTTAAAAACCTCTTTGTTTCTGAAATTCCATTCATCTTGTTGCTAATGGTCAATCAAATAATCAACATGGAGACAAATGAATATCACAATGTTCTCACACAACTTTGTGTGCAAACACTTGTAATAAGAATTAGACGAAAAAGGTTTTTAGATAATCATGCATGAAGATGCAAGAAGGTTTTTAGATGAAGTGAGAGATGATATTATAAGCAATTTAAAGTAGTATAGTATAAATTGTAATAAGCACCTTATTTAAGTTCATTTGTCTGAAATCTTCACTTAAATTTATATGCTAAACCTTCTTGATCAACTTCATCATTGATGCGCATGACACTTTTGGACCTTTTCTTCTTTGATAATCTTTGTCTTCTTCAAAATAGAACTAGATATAAGATTTATTCATCACAATCTCCCCCTTTTGATGATGACAAAATATTTTAATTCTTGTTTTGAAAATGATTGAATAGTCTCCCCCTAAGTTGTGTGTCTTCTCTTTAATTTGTGAATTTTGCAATGACAAAGTCCAACTTTTGATGTTGTTGGATTCTTTAATAACTATGATAACATGGTCAAAGTAAGAGGTCAACGTACGCATTACCTTATCAACTACCATCTTATCAGTTAGGGTTTTGCCACAACCCTTCACGAGATGGACGAGTTTTTGCACCTTTGACACATAGCATGTAATCTTTTCATCTTCTCCCACTGACAAAAATTCATATTTTCATTGCAACGTTTGCAACTTAACAACCTTAAGTTTCTCGCCTCTTTCATAGTACTTGACAAGAATATGCCACACCTCTTTCGCTGATTCAACATGGGCGATTTTGTCGAAGTTATCTGCATCAACTGCCAATTGGATGTAGAATGCCGACTTACAATCCTTCTTCTTGGCATCCTTGTGAGTGGTTTTCTATGCTTCGGTTGCATCTTTACCAAGCATAGAAACATCATTAGTAACCACTTTTAGGGTTTCATGAAATTCAAATAAAGATTCCACCTATTTTCTCCATCGAAGCCAATTCTTGTCATCAAGAGTTGGAAGGAAGTTTGGTAAATTTTTATTACCATTCATCTTTGAAGCGATTGATCAACAATAATCCACGATTCCAGAAACACGATCTCTGACGTGTGATTCTTGAAAACATGATCAAGAATCTATTGGAGCTCTAGATACCTATTTGTTAGTGCATGAGTCACTTTTAGTGAGGAGAGAAAGAGAGAGAATAAGGAAATAAGAATTTATTGAATAAATTGTTATGAATAATGATACATATTATGAATATTTATATACAATCCTAATTGGACTTGGGCTAACACAACTTGGATTATATTTAAATATCAAATATAATCAAATCGAATATTTCAACAGTAATCATATAAAGATTATCTTTGTCCTTAGTGAATTTACTTACTGTTTCATTGAGATCTTCAATTTTAGTTCTCAAAGAATCAAAGGTTTACATTTAATAGAATTCACAAAATTTCTTCTAGGTTTATTCAATCCATCTATAATTAAGAAATGACATGATTCTTATAAGTCACAACTTATTTTTTAGCTTATCATTTTCTTTACACATTTTATACTTAAATCAAACTTTTTTTATAAGAAAGATTTCTTACCTCATCATCATATTAACATTTAATTTTGAAAGAAACATTTACCTTTTCACTTCATTCTCTACATGATGCATTTGATGATGATTCTTCAATTCTCTAGATGATGATTTTGATGATTCTTTAGATGATACTTATGATTATGTTTCAGATGATTCTTCATTTGTTTCTTTAAATGATTCTTCATCCGACACTTCAAAAGATTCTTCATATAATTCTTCATTTATTTCTTTAAAGGAATATTTATATGATGCTTCGATGATGCTTTATATACATCTGAGTTTTCCTCTTTGATATTTTTCTCATATTGAAGTAATTTTACTAATTCTTTCAGTTTCTTGACGATCTTTCACTTATTCGACTTACCTTGTAAATCATCAATAATATATGTATCTCTAGATTCTAGTATCGAGTCATGTTTCCAACCCCAATTTTTGAATCTGAGATACTCGTTTATAATTTTTTTTTGAAATAACATAGAAGAGAAGAGGTAGAGAAATAATCAACGAAACA